AAGATATTAGTAGTACGAGAAGTGAGATTTTCAAAGATTATAGCTTATATCATAGATGAGTAAAAAACTACGCGCATTTTACTTTAATTTCCTTAAGGGTATCTAATCATTTTTGAAGACTAGTCGAATGGGGGTCACGCTCAGAGGTTGTCTCCAACTGTGGAAGTGTGATGAAACTCGAAATAATAGAAAATTCTGGCTTTTAAACCAGGGGTGCACAAGTTCAAAGTTAGCTAAAATCTGTTTCTTTGACATGATTATTCAATTGGTGACGATAAACTAAACAAAGTTTTCTCTTTTGTGGATGAAATCATTCGGTCTGGTCCATTCGGAAAGTGGTCGAAAGGATTGATTCGACGTCGAAGAGAGTGCTGTTTTCCATGCCCAATTCAGAGGAGCGTAAACAGAGAGTTGGCCATCGCTTGACTTGGCAGAGGAGTATGAAGGAAATCACAAAGCGCTACTCGCCTTCCAGGATGGGGACCGCGTGGTCCTCACTGTGCCTGGTTGGGGACACTACAAGGTATGGGTGCCAACCGATGTCAGTGGCGTTCTTGTCGTCAGATTTCCTGAGTAAATGTCTGGAGGTGTAAGCACCTCGGAATGATTATGGTAAGCTAGCACTAAGTCCCTTCCCTGCTTGCCTTTATTCTTTTCTTTACAATTAGGCTTTCAAATAAATCATGGTCCTACGGCAGTGAAGCATCGGTGCTGAACACTGATGTCATGCTGTCGATGATGATGCGTATAGGATGGTAATTTTTCGGTTGAAGTTGGTAGAAAGTGCATTCCGCGCTTAACTTCCATAACGGACTTGTGGGTAAACGACGTTGAAGAAGACTCTAGTTAGTAAAACCGTTAGCGTTAATGGAAAATTCAGTCAAGGTTCGAAAGAACCTCTCCTTTGGGACGCTTTTCAACCAAAAGCTCGATTTGAATAGTGCTTTTAAATCAAATTCACTGATAATTCGGGTATTTAGGTAGATTCACCTCATAGGCTAAAATCAAAACCGATTTGCGATGCGTGTAAAAACCTTATTTTCTGGTGGAGACCCGTTCGACCTTCATTCTCGGACACCTCATGTTCATGATACTATTCAACTCTTGGTGGGTTCATTAAAAGACTTTTTCTGAGGGTAACTGTGGTGAGGATTCTTAAACTACACCCAACATGTGGCCAGCGATGTCAAAGCGCATGGCTCATTGCTTCGGGTTGAGAAACCTTGTAATGCATGGTGGACATTCACGATGTGCTGAAAGGGAGTACGGAGCGGAAAAGTTCGAAAATCACTACCATGCATTATTTTGAGTGGAACATATCACTCACTGAAGGCCACTATGATTGTAGCGCATGAATACTTTGGACTCAGTAGATTTCAGTGGGCGGTCCATGCAGTACAGTATAGTGATATCGCAGACTTCATTCCCAAGCTTTCTTGCCAGCTAATCACAGTTATTAATCCGACAGAGTTAACACCTGAATGGTTTTTCCTCTTTGTGTTCATGTCCACTTTCCATGGGATCAGACTCAAATGGTATCAGAACGGAGCTCTGGGGGATTTTTGAAAATCGCGCTGTCATACGGGAGTTGTCAGTTGAGCTGGGGTATATATGCAATAAGGTCACCAACAACCGTGACTCCTAAGCTGACCGACGAAGCCACTGAAATTAATTCTTTTGACCGTACAAGACACCATTCACCTGTTGACATAAAGCTCACATATTCAGTTATGTGTCGATGCGTGTCCATGCTGAAGTCATGGTAAGTGCCCTCTGCCAACCTTTAAACATTGTAAAACCTTGCATCGGTTGGTAAGCAGTAAAACTTCTTAGACCGATACCATTTATCACGCAAACCATGTCTGAAACCATTGTCAGTTCAGCAGCTCTCTGTCTAACCTGCACAATATTGTTTATCCCGGTCACCTGCCAATAAGCCAGCAGTGATAAACTTGAGCATAAAATTTACACATTTTGTATAAGGGCGTCGTGAACCGAAACAGAGCAAGCGCTCTACGTGTGCGGCCAGTTTACTGGCTGCCTCTAGAGTGATGGGTTTAATAGAGCATATACTGTCTGAAAACAATGATCGTCATCTGGACGAGACACACCCTGCAGTGCAAACCCCATGTAAGTTCCAACTACACATTACTGTCGTCACATGACCTTGTTTGCTAGCACTTCTGCAATAAAAAGCGGCAACATTGATGTCTTTCAGTTGAAGATGTCCCTTTGTGCAACCTGGCCAGTGTGCTGATGTGAGATTTTGGAACCCTGTATGTGGTTCCTACTTTTCCCTTCCTTGTCCTCTCTTGTCCTCGAGACGGGATAAAACTAAGAGAATACGCGACTGGTGCTGATAAATTACTGCCTGGATCGACATATTCCGTCCAGACCGTACTGGGAAAACCGGTAAATAATAAAGAATTGCATCCTTAGGTGGGCTTCACGTATTTTGATTGAAATCAACGGCATATTGTCGAAACCTGACCAACTATGAACGACACAGCCAATAATGATGAAAAGCACCAAAAGGGACAAAGACTGTGGGAGGGATATACCTGGTTCAGGCCATCGAGTCGAAAAGATAACGGCGTTTACTTTCAAGTACTGATTAGCCATAAAAACGCAACCCTGTGAAATTATAGTGGACTGCTAAATTAGAGGTTTCGCTGTTTCTATACGCAGTCCGACACTGTCCTTTTAGAAGATTCCTCTTTTGGGTTTGTTTGCTATATCCTGGTCACCCGTATTGGCCAAAACTGACGGAAATGTAACATGCTCAACACGTAACAAATATGTATCTAAGGTTATACGAGGGAAGTAAAACAATTCTTACCGTAAGGAGACGGTGTTTAGTGGTCCTATGTCATCCAACGTTTGGAGCTGGATACCAACTAGATTGATTTTTTACGGAAAATACAATACTAATTTGGTTTTCACGGGAGACTCACCTGAATCCCACATGAATGTCTTGTCTCTGAAGTTCTTCAACTGGATATGTTGCACCACAATAAATTGTATATATATCGTACGTTGTATACTGTATTGTTGCTACGGCCGGCTTTGCCCTCTCTAGTGCGATCTTATGAGTGGTGTGTTGCATCTATAACCAAGTTTTCTTCTACTTCTCCGTGTTTTACAAATGTCTTCTTCACGAGTGCTATTTCAACATTTAATGAGTTCACTTTTCTCATACGAGAAGACCGACCTCTATTTTGGCTGCCAATAAGTTAAAACAGTCAAAATTAAAAAGAAACGAAACTACATACGAACAATTAGCTTCTGATAAAAAGAAGCTAATGCGTTAAAGGGAGAAATCACACAGTCATAATTTTGCTAGGTACGGATCGGTACTTTGTGGCTCAGAATTACTCACTTCATGTGATGGCGTGCCGCTTTGACGCACGTTTAAACTTTTGAGATCTTACACTATCATCCAGCTGCCAGTAGTTTACTGAGAAATGAAAACATCGTACGCATTTTCTCAGTCTGTCATGTGAGCAGTCTTCATTGCGTAAGCCGATGGGTACACCCTGATGGGTATCCATATCTAAAAGTTGTCTTGTCGTGAGCAGTTTGGAGTGCATCTATTGCACTATGAGTCTTATACTTACGGACGACCAATGCTCTTCAAACGGAGAAAAGTTATACGTCATGGTATAAAAGCAATAATTGTGTGCTGCAGAATAAATTTCTGAAGTGCGGACACCCACAATATGGGCTTTCTCCTGTTTTTGGACCGTGATCATTCCGTCAGTAGATTATGATCGTCTTTTGGTGTGGCAATAAACGAAGTGCGTCAATTAAAAAGAGCCTATAGGTAGGACTAAGATGATATCGCAGCGGGCGTCGATCATCTTCGAATTGAACTATTCAGCTTTGTCACTGTGTGCACAACAACATTTTCTTATAGGTCTGTTGGACGCGGCACTTTCGGACGGTCGATTTTGTTTGCTCAAATTCTCCGACAGTTTTAAACTGCGTTGCTGAGCACTACTGACAGAATAATAGCAGCCAAATTTCGCCTGCAACGAAAAGCTCTTTTGACTGGTTGGATGGCTTCTTCCCAAGGCCGTATCACTACTGGCGATTTCGGTTTCAGCTTGCCGACCGCTAGCCCGCCCTATGTTTAGTGTAGCCGCAAGTTTCATCTGAGTCATCTTGTATGAGAATGGAGATGTTACGGGAAATAAGCAACCAGTCCCATAATCATACAGTTTATTTAGTTATTTATTTTATTGGTTAGCCATTAGTCATTGGCTACACGATCTGTATTGGGTGAGATTCTCAAAGAATGGTGACTCAATCCCGCCGATGGTATTTTCCAGAAACATGATACTTAGCTGTGTTTATTTATTTCAATGGCTTCAAAAAACATAGGCACCTTTTTGTAGACCGTTCTCCTTGAGGACCCGCGACTTTCTGCAGTAACTTTTGATTGCTTGCAGCAATCAGGTGGACTACACTGGGTTGGCTCATAGCCCCGAAAGTCGAATCATTCAAGCGAAGGGCTACTAACAAATGCCGTATTACGAGCACAGTGATGAAATGATGAAATGCTACAAACTACAAATTGAGTAGTTAAGCTGGCTCTCATTAACTTAGACTGAGGCAGAACAAAGAGACGGGAGTTGGAAAAGCCTACAAAGGCTCTTCTAAATAGGCGTGCAGTGTTGATGTCACACGCGGTTGGTGAAGGCCAGATAATGGTTATCTTTTAGATCACCAGCTAGAAGAAAGGATAGATATCTGAAATGACAACGAAAAATCCTGTTATACATCATAAGAATGGAAAACAACCAGCAGTAAACCCTCACTCCTCTATTTTACCCCCATCTTTACCAGAGACTTTGCCTTCCATATTCGCATGGCATTTAAACACCATTTCCTACTACGGGCGTCGATAATTATGATGGCTCAATTAGAAACTACATCGTCGAGGAACATCTTGTCAGCTAGACACACAACATCTCACTGTCATGATACTTAGTTCTCTGCTATTCAGCAATTCTGTACACCTGTTTGAGATCATAGCTAAGAAAGAAAGAATATGATGTAAAATTTAATCATATTGATATGAGCGCCTATATCGAGCCGCAGTTCGCTTATGCTCAGTTTCTAATCATCGTCGTCATGCAACGTTATAAAGTGAAATGAAAAGTAAACTCCAGTCGTATATAAATATTTTCACTGGCAAATGTACTACAGCTTCCTCAAGCAGACATTTGAATGGCGTGCATTCCAAACGGTCCGATTTGAAGAGAATACCATTAAAAATCCGTTTAACGTGGTACTATTAAGCCAGATATCACACACCTGCAAGAAAAAACCAATATTTTCCGACCTTTTAAGTACAGAGGCGAACGAGCGCTAAATAACAGGGTTGAAACCTCCGTCACTAATGCATGGAAACAAAAATCTGTCACGTCTTACGGGGCCAGGAATAGCACCAAACAGGAGCATTTGCTTGATTTGTCAACAAGGTCGAGACAAGTAGGGATACAAGGACAAGACTGATTACGATTGGTGCGTCGTCAGATGGAACAGCTGGAGTGAGGTAGACGTATGAGGCAGTGTACATAGGCACAAACAGTCCCAGTCAGACAAGCATAAACACGTGTAAGATCAGGCGTCGACAATAAGAAACTCGGGAAAATCACAGGCAAACACGTAGGGCTATGTCCGGAAAGTTTCCGGGTAGCATATTGACAAGCTGGCATAAGAACTCAAAATTGCATGGTCCCCTCAATAATAGCATGATCTTCGACGAGCGGTTTTCGCTCACTAGATAATCAGTCTTCTGAATTTCGGGAGTTTCAGGGGTCCTTTTGCGTGTAGTTTTTGAGTAATCTTGTCTTGAGTCATAGAACGTTATTTGTGGAGGTTGTGGTCCTGAGCACTAGTGTCAGCTAATCGGAAGTAAGCCGAATCTTACTTCTTCAAATATATGGTAGCAGAGTATATAACCGTAATACAAGACACCCTGTGACATTGACGGCCTTTGAGTAAAGTTCAAAAATGTTTAGGATAACGTTCATCCACATTTGTTCATATAAATACATTGACTCACCGGTTACCTACTGGTTAAGGAACTAGCTAGTGTAAGCACCAGATATCGTATTTTAAAGTTCTTCCAAAAGGATGAGATGTTTCACCTTCGTATGTCATAATCTTGTTCTATTGAGATGTGAGTAAGAATAGAACGATTACGGAAACATGGATGGGATCTAAGAATGCGCTGAACATGCATATTTTACAGGGAGAGAGTGCGAATCGGAATGGAAATAGTCACGCTATTTGTTTTGGGCAAAACATCGACCTGGAAGACCATAGAAGGTGACGGGTTGTGTGGCCTTTGCCATATGAAATTATCAGTCTGCTATAACTACTGAATTATTAAATGCCGCACGAGTATTTATTAACATATTTGGTTGAAAACCACTTGATCCTCTCCTGGACGTTACTTTTCCTTGGTTCGCTGTACTGTCGACAAACGTTCAAATGTTGTTGTCTGGTGTGGTGAACGAATGCAGTCCTAGTAGTTGAAAGTTTACTGTTGTCCGCAGTCAGTCGGCGTTGGTCTGTTGTCCGATAGAAAGGTTGGTCGGGCTAGTGTTAGCGCCCACCGTCGGTCGATGACCGAATGCTAGCCATCAGCTGGGCAGCACATGTTCGCATGCCTGTTCTCGTAAGCACCAGTGCCACTCATTGTACACTCTAAGCATGTGAGCTCTCATAGGATGTGAGCGATTCTATGGGCAGATAGGTTGAATGATTGTGAATGTGGTGCGCATGCTGAAATCGACCCATTTGTCGCAAGGCCAGTGAATGAGAGAGTATCCTGCTTTCAGGCCGAGTTAGGTCAATGAATTATTGACCACCGCTTCGTAGATGGGTACAACATACCATGTCAACTCGACAAACGAGTGATATTCCGGAACCAAAGACTAGAAATCACAGGCAGAAATCTCCAAAGTGTTAAAAAAACATGAAGCTCGTATTGTTAAATATCTCCTAACAATGCAGAGAGAGTAAGTCTCACTGAACCCACACAGTAGATTCAGTTGTGAGAAGCCTTTAAATCCATCTACTGGGTCCCTTGGGGTCAAGCAGGCACTGCCTGTGACAAGATTTTGACAATCGTTCGACACAACTGAACTCTGATTGTTTGGTCCTCCAGCTAGTGTACGGAAACAGATTGTACGGGTGCGCAAATTATCTTGGCAGCATAATGACCATGTTAATTTATGTGCCATTGAGTCGCAATAAAACTGCCTTCACCAGCGCAATGACGCAATGACAATGGTGGTGGAAATGGACTGTGGGTTGGGGAATAAGCTGAGTTGGTTGTTCACTCTGTTGTAACTGTGTGGTCAAAGAGTTGCACAGTAGTTTCTTACCAAAGCACTTATTCACTCTATTATAACTGATGTGATTCGCACAAGGAATGACGCGAAAGAACAAAAGCATGGTTGCAATAAGAGAATAAAGAACGTCCCGGGTCAGCACACAGGTTGGTTTGACTGATTCGTATTCACCAATTAGCGGCATTCAACAATTTACCTTCGTAGTTTTTCAGATACATCTGACCTGAGAAAAGTTATTATTTCAGCATCTTCCACCGTGATAACTCACTCTGGAGGACAACGGCCACCTAAACATGGGACCTGTTTCATAGTGGGCATAAAAACGTTGAAACAAGACATTCGCATATGATTTTAGGTGGATGAAACTACCCGAACACTTGGGCTAGGCAGAACTGTAAGTCGTAGTGTGTAGCCTCGCAGTGAAATATAAGAGAATAGTCACGTGCAATCACAATTTTCCTCCATATTTACCTAGCTTCACCCACCCCCTGGATTGCAAGGCATTAAAAAGCAACCCGTCTATTTGTCCAAAACATCGCAAATCGCGACAAGTTTACGTAATTTGTGACAGACTCCTTGTAAACCACGTGTGATAAAACGAACCACTTCGGTTGACATCCAGACATGAGATCAATCTGCGTGTTTCCGTATTCCACTTTAAGTTTTGCATTACCCCACCTGGGGTCTGCAATTTGTGTGCAAACATGTCGAATCGATTGCACTGTAACCCAAGAACGTAGTCCCTCTCCATTCTACATATCCAGTGCGATCATCAATAGCTAAGTTATGACGAACAATTCAGTTATTTGACAAACACGCATTTGCACATCATTTCGGTTTTTTATCGAGAGTATCACCTTATGAACAGTGTTTTACGTCTATAGAGTCTACTGTCATGTCTTGAATATCGTACCGAGTAAAACATGAAACGGTCTGGTGCAACATATTCTGTTGAAGGTGAACATAAACAAGAGATTGAGCTTGGATTTAGCTGAGATTCTCGTGAAAACTAAACAGGTAGGCAAATGAGTTTTTCTGTCTAATCACGTGCAATTTGTGTTCAAGTAAAACATAAGGTTGACGGAGATTCGGAGACTCCGTCCACCTGATTAGTCCCGAGAAGGGCAAAACCGGTCGTGGGCTGTCGAACAGCTTTAGGCAGCCTCGTAGGTGTGAAGCCTCAATTCCAAAGTTTAACATGACATCTTCCCTTGTGATAATGCAGACATCCATGAGTGTGACGTCGTGGCAACAAAATCTGTTATCCTTAGTCTCCTCTGGGCACTTGGAAGTAAGTGCGGCTATCTGACAGCAACATTTCTTTCGAGCAGCTTTTCCTTTGTTACCTTTATACTGGAACATTGTTCCACTTCATCAACTCATCTGTAAAGCTGATTTTGGTTTCCATAAGGGAAACTAATCAAAATTTTGCTGGAAACCCTTCGATAGCCCACGAATGGTTTCGCCTTTCTTGAGGCTTATCAAATAGTTTCCAAGTTTCTGTCCGTGTGGGTGGCTTCCTTCATGAAAACATACTGTAATGTCTCAAATATCGTACCAAATAAAACACGAGGCGGCCTTTGTGCGGCACATTTACTTGATATGCAAATGAGCATATTTGTCCACATTTTGTTTTGCTTATCATCTGTAAAGTGGTCAAATAGAAGTCGTGACTCGTTGCTTGCCGTGTCCTTTGTCCTCTTCATTCGAAAGCCAGTTAGTGTCAGCTGTGCGGCAGGAGCACGCCTATTTGTAAGATTTACCATTATCTTGTATAAGATTGGAGAAACCTGTTGATGCGCTTCGCCGTTTACACTAAATCACACAACTGTTGGGGAATTTACATTGTTGAATCTATTAGGTGACCCTGTTCTGTACAAGAGAAACATGTCAAACTGAAAGAAAAACTCTATCACACATCTGGGCTTAGCGGAAGCTATCGGTATCGTTCCCGGGTGGAAGTGTAGCCTAATCGCCTTTAGATCATATATCCACGTGTCCCTGTGAAGTTCAAGTATGTCAAGTTACCCAGAGGATGCTGTTATCGCTTGAATGTTCAGAAACAACACTCTGGGTCTCTTAAACTGTGGTGAATGTGATGAACTTTGACATTTTGTCCATACGTGATCCACAGTTCAATGTACCACCCAACTTAACGTTATTATAAGCATGGTCCCCATGTTAATGGTTATTTGGTATTTGATAGCTATTGCTTATATCTAACATATTTTAAACGGTACTGGCCGCATTGCATCAACGGATTTAACTGTCAAAAGTTCAACGAAAATAAACAGTTTAAGAAGCAAGCATCTTGCAAATCACACGCTTCCGGAAACGTGATGAGTGGTATACTTATTTAGGTCCGTCCGGTGTGCAGTGATCAGCCAGTTTGGGCGATATCAGTTCGTACACCAAATGACCTTAGCCAAAATCCAGGTGTAGTCAAGGTCACACACTACTGTCGAGCTCTAATATCAGCAAACCTCGGGATCAGTAGATCATAGTGGAATGGACTAACTGGAATTTGCGTATTCGGACAGAACAAACGTGGCTGCAAGTCTGATCTTAACCAGCTGAAGAAGAACACCATTACCAGAAAAGGCTGTAAACCGGGTTCGTTCACATAGTTGTTGTATTTAGATAAAGCTCAGATGGGAGACAAAACTT